CTGCTGAAATAAATACAGAGTCTTCAAGTTCATTTCTTGGTAGTTTTTTTGTGTCTTCAAAAGGGCTCAACATTTTAGTAAAAACATTAAATACTATTTTGTGCCTCTTGCTTTCAAAGCTGTTTCACACCATTATACTGTTCAAAGAAACCAATTTATTAATAATGCAAGTAATAAAATACACCAAAATATTCTGAAAGCTGTTGCAAGCCTTACAGCTGCCTGCACATTAGTAACAAATGCTTCCAAAAATTACATTAGCTAAACATTGATCCACTCTCTTCACTCCCTGATGAACAAGTTTGAGACAGCATTTACACACAGACGTGGTGAACATTTAACCTTTCCACTTCTTTATGTGGTCAGGAGGCCACTGAGCTTCTGCACAGGGACTGGCAGATGTGGCTCATGGCTCAGCAGGGCAGCCTGGCACTGGTGACAGCCTGGAAGCAGGAGTGACACTCCTGCTGCTCCCAGCCCTGCTCTGCAGCCATGATATTTTATGAAAAATCCTGAGAAGCTGAGAGGCCTCAGAAACAAAATGTAAACAATGATTACCCGCTGCTATGGAATGCAAAAGGTGGATCTGTGATTGGTCTCATGTGATTGTTTTTAATTAATGGCCAATCACAGTCCAGCTGTCTTGGACTCTCTGGTCAGTCAAAAGATTTTATTATCATTGCATTCCACTTCTTTTCCTTTCAAGCCTTCTGATGAAATCCTTTCTTCTATTCTTTTAGTATAGTTTTAATATAATATATATAATATATTATATATATATAATATATATATATCTCCTTTCTTCTATTCTTTTAGTATAGTTTTTATATAATATATATAATATATATCATAAAATAATAAATCAGCCTTCTGAAACATGGAGTCAACATTCTCATTTCTTCCCTCGTCCTGGGACCCGTGTGAACACTACCACACTGCTCTCTCCCCTACTGGTTATTTCAGCTCTATTTCCTTCTCCTCCTTGGCACTCATCAGCCTTGGGTCCCACCTCCATTCCCACAGCAGCTCACCCCTGAACTCCCCCACTGCCCCTGTGCAGCAGAGACACAACATCCTGTCAATGAAATGATAAAAAGTGACTTTTTTATTTTTATCCACAGCAGAAAAATGAATAATTTCTCTTGTTTCCCTTTACTACTCAACATCACGGCAGAGCCAAGTGGGTGTGCTGGTATTCCAGCATTACGTGATGAACAATGAAAAATCTTCACAGCCATGCTGCTGGGTTAGAAGAGATTAATCACAAGATGTCAGAAAAAGGTCACTCAGGCTGGCCCCTTGTCCCCAATTCTGACTTTATACACCATTTCACAACTAGGAGGATGTTAGAGGATGTTAATCTGCTGGATATCCATGAGTGGGAGAGGAAACAGAGCGCTGCCAAGTTCTGGGTGTAATTCTATCTGTGCACAGGCAGGAATCCCTCAGTGGCTGCAGAGGCAGAGCAGTGGCACAGCACTGGCCTCACCAGCCTCACCCACGTGCAAAACTCTCACACAGACTGGCCAAAAAAGGGGGATATTGGTGCAAACCGTGAATCATCCTCAGAGCGGGTCTGAATCGTGAGATCGCCTCAGAGCCAGAAGGGAGAAGATCAGCAAGGAAATTCCTCCCCAAGACAAACCGTATTATATATATTCAAATAAGAGCAACAGTTCCTCACATCTAAAACCACATTCCCACTTCAGGTAGTGGGCATTTTGCCACTGGCTTTGGGAGAACCAGGACATCACTCCAGAGTTTAACCAAGTGGCATGAGACAACAGTGGAGTGCCAGGTCACTGCACAGAGCTGCACTGCTCCCTGCAATGTGAGCAGCTCTTGAACATCCTGGCAAAAGCTGCTGATAACTAGCTCTGGTACCTTTGGTACTGTTGCAGTTACATTTCCCTTTCATTGCACTTTTCAGTATAATTTTACACCAGGGACTCTGTGTGTGTGTAGGACATGGATGGCAGCCCTGTCTGAAGCACGGCACAGGGAAAGATGTGCTCTAAAACAAGACTTGAACAAAAGTATTTCCAACACCAGTGCAAAAAGATACCTGTTTACCTTAACTTCAGCATGACTTCTCATGCAACCAACCCTTCATATGGGATATCTGACCCAGAGATTGTATGCTACACTCTGCCTTTATAAATAAGGGTTTAAGTATCACAGCTGCCAAGCAGCAAGTGCAACACAAGTCAGAGCAGGCTAACACAAATATCCTTTTGAAGAAAGAAAAAAATGCAAGAGTCATCCATTGTAAATGAGAAATTGCTAGTCCATCCTTCCCCACCTAAACACTCCCTAGATTTTGGTCAAACATGAAATTAGATAAAACAATGATAATATCTTCAGTGTAGAAAGCACAAACACAAGCTAATAAACACCACCACTGCAGCACAGAAAATAAAATAACCTTACCCAGCTTTCCACTATTCCAAGAGCCCAAATGAAGTAATTCACCACTTACTTCCCTGAACTACATATTTGCATTAAGAAGATGCAGACTGGGAGTGATGGCAATGGTATGCTCTGACTTGCTGACTTCTCCACACTTGACAAATGCAACCAGACAAGGGCAAGAGCACGATGTCAGTTTATTCCTTCATTTCAATCTTGTCTGCAGAGCAGAATATGCATCCTTCTGTGGGCTCCTTTTATTTTTCCTGATGTCAGCAATAGCCTGCTGTGCTCATCACGAGGCTCAAAGGAGGCCTCTGGACACATCCCTGAGCAGGGAAACGGTCTGAACCTGAGCATGCTCCAGTGCACAGCCCAGCACCTCCTGAATCTTCTGACAGCAGAGACAGAATACACCTGGCCAAGCCTTAGTTTGCAAAAGCAAAGAGTCCACAGTGCACCTGCAGCACACACAAGGGAGCCTGTGCAGGTCTCTTCTCACTCCTACCACATATCCATGACAGGACAGAGGAAAATGGGACACAGGGAACAGACAGGAGAGACCATGATCATGATGTGCAATCAGCACAGCATAAGAAAAAGCATTTGTCCTTCAGATTTTGTCTCTCACCCTGTTTTGATAATGAATTACTGAAATGTCCTTTTTTCCAGCCCTTTTTTCCATCCTTTCAGTGCCTGGCACATCAGCATGCTGACAGCATAATCAGGATTTACAGCAGTCCTGAACAAGGATTCTCCTCTGTGGGTGAAAAAGCTACAAGAAAAGTGCAAACTTCATCCTCTTCTAATTACTCCAGAAATCTGCATGTTAACAGGATATCATTAAGATTGCAAAGTAATTAAACTGTGTCAAAATCTGCAAGAGGGAGCAAAATTTGCACTCTTGGAATGTGGTTTGAGTGCATTTGAGCAGCCCCACCGAGGGACTGTGCTGCTGATGTTCTGCCAGAACTGAAACCACCAGTGTAGAGAAAGTTTTTGTCTTTTCTGACCATGGGAGCACAGAAAGTGGGGTTGGTGAGGAGTTCCTGATCTCACTGAGCCTTATCTGCTGCCAGGCAGGGCTGATCTTGTCATTCCTGGCAGCCTAATCTGTCCTAATGGCCTCAAGTGGTGGAGCCTCCACAACCTATCCAAGCAATCAGAGACCTCCTCTTGGATCTGGCTTGACTCTCTCCCACTGGAGAAAACAATTTTTAAAATTGTTTTTCTTTACCCTCTGGCCCACAGAGCAGTTTATCACTCATATAGCATAATTCACATGCAATTATAAGCTATTTTTGCATCCCTCTGCCCCAGCTTTTATTCTGCAGGCCAAGCCATGCTATTGTCCCCTCAGAAGTGATGTTATCTAGGTCTGGATCATTCCCACTACTCCTCCATGAATTTCCTCCAACTGTTTTTCCTTGAAGTGCAGTGCCCAAACTGGACACTGTGTTCCAGCTGAAATCTTTCCAACACTGGGACATCTTGTATGTTCTGTTTAGTTATCCCCGAAAAATATTAGTATTTTCAAAAAAAAAGCTTTACATTAGTGACTATTATTCAGACCATGAGGCACAATAAGTTCCACATAGTTTTTCAAGGAACTACCAGAACTGTCTTATAGTCATAAAGGTGTTTTTCCTGCCTAAGGAATACTTCTCTGCCCTTGGCTCAGTGTCAATCCATCCTGCTTTTACTAGAACATTCCTTCAAGCTGTCAGCATAATTCTGAATGCTACCCTTGTCTCCCAGTGCTTTAGCAGCCCTTCCCATCTTCATGTCAGCTAAAAATTCAACACTCATCACCTGTCCCACTGAGGCCACTGATGACAATAATGGTGAAAAGCAGAACAACCCCTTCAATGCACTTTTCCACTGGAATGATGGACCAGTGATACCTAGTATTTGCACAATTCCATCAGTTTTGCACAGTGGTTTCACTAAAGACACACTTCCCTGTTTTTTTTTAATTAATCCATCATAAACATTAATGTCAAAGTCATTACTGGAAGTTGAGCTGTTTGGCCTCCTTTGTGCCTCCCCCAGCTGTACAACTTGCTATCAGCTCTGGAAAGACATTTTCAAGTCTTTAAAAGTCACATGGGCTTTTACTGAACTCCTTGGTCTCCTTCAGGTGCTTACACATAATTTGTTTGCTCCAGTTTTTCCAAGAACAAAACAATTTACCTGTCATTCCCTTTTATCTCTTTACAGACATTATGTTTTTTCTTTCCCACTCATTCAGCACTTGACCTGTCTTGCCTGAGTTTCAGAAGTAATGACAAATGCTTCTGAGATTGCTTTAGCTAATTAAGTAATCTAGAATAAAGTTTATCAGGCCTATCTGTTCTGAAAGCATTAAATATGTCTGAATACACTCTAACCTGTTCTTGTCCTTTTTTATCTTGTGGTTTTACCCTCTGTCAGAATACCATGAGCATGTTTGAGGGTGTGACTCAAATGCATCAGTGACAGCAGTTCTGGACCTTGAGATGAAATTTAATCCAATTTAATATAATTTAATGTAATCTTTTTTGTCCTCACACCAAGCTGTGAATTCCCTTGAATGATAAAGCCCCTCATACCTCCGTTCATTGTCATCAAGATGAGCAAAGAGCACGTTCTTGGAGATGGCCTTGGCCAGAGCAGTCATAGTTTTATAGTCCTTTGGAATAACCTGTAGAGAAAAGAATGAGAGGTAATTACATGCCTGATTGTATCCACTCACAAATCATGAAATCTACAGAAAATTCCACTATTCCAGAAAATGGATGTGATTTCATTTCAGGCACTGAGACAGGATTAGGCTATAAAATAAAGCCACTAAGAAAGTAACAAATTACAGTTTTGATAATGTGTGGATAAGCAATTTGGTTCTCAAAATGACACTCAGAAAGGCAATATAAGATCAGAGAGGACTGAGGAGAAGCATATCCATAAAATACTGTAATTAGGAGATATTGGCAGCTGTGTAATCTCCTTTCAAGTATCTTGGACTAAGGAAAATGTATTTTATGTTCCTCTTCCTTCCAACCCATATCAGAAGCAACCTACTTTTAAAACTGTGAAAATAGCAACATTTCTTTAGGAAAAAGGTAAAAATGTGTTGAATACATCACATTTTTCAGTACTGCCTGTGGTATAAGGAACCAAGCTCCTGATAGGCCCACTTGAGTCAAATCCTGTGCCTTGGCTTCACGGCAAACAAGCAGAATTTCCATTTGACAATGAAGAGGCCTTTATTTGTTAACTGGAGCGATGTCAAAAGTCCTGTTGTGCGTGAATTTGCTTAAAATAAAAGCTGACATTCAGGAGTATTTCCACTTTGGAAAGCTAGGCTTTCCATTTTGGTAACCATTAGGTAAGATGTCAGTAGATAATGTATCTCTCTATTTCTCCTATCAGTCAGAGACTTCAAGATTAGGAGAGACACAAGACATTTGTAACAAAATTATGACCTGTCAAAGATATCCATTGTCTTTAATAATGTGATTTTCCTTAATAGTTTAATTATAACAAGCTAGAATCAAGCATAGCAAAGCTTTTAAGTATTAAATGAACCGTACTGCAATCTGAAAATCAGAATCTGTTTGTCAGTCTCAATTACTGCACAGTAAAGGTCTGATAAGGGGCATTTATCTCTCACATTTTCTCATGATAGAAGTAGTGTATCTGTCTGTTGCAAGTTACTACCTGTGTTGATGTGCAGGTATTTTCCTTCTTTCATCCTGGAAAGGCAGGAAATACCCATCCAACCAAAAGAAGGATGCCTCAAAGGGTAAAAGTGATGTAGAACCAGTTCCCACAAAGAATTATCAAGATTTACCTCACAGGTGAACGCTGCACTGTGAAAATCTAGAGTTAAACTGGCTTCAGACCTCTCTTGTATTGACTGCTGCAGAAATCAGATTACTCCAATTAAGTCCAGAGAAGTACACATGCACAAACTGCATGTTTGTATCAGAGTGAAATCTGATCTAATTATCTAAAAGTTTAAATTTCTCAATGTTAAATTCAGCCAGTATATTTTTCTTGGTTTTTTCCCTATCAGAGGAACACTGGATTGAATTGCAGACCTGAACCCTTGCTCTATTATGAATACACCAGCTCAGCTTACTGCTGATGACCCAAAGGGGTAAATAATCAGATCACTGAGACACTCAACTCCAGCCTTTCTGTCTGATGATGAAATAGCACTGAGTCGCCTTCCTCAGTGTAAATTTGCAGCAGTGAAAGCCACAAGGCTGTGTGGGTTTGTTGGGGCAGGGACACAGAAAACACAGGAGAGACTCACTAGGTGTGACCAGGCATCCAGAGTCAAATGCTGTAAGAATCACTTGGCCATTTCTTACATCACTCTTCCAAATAATCACTGGATGTTCTCTTCAAGCTGATCACCCTCTTTAGAGCAAGATTCCTGTTCTGTTAGTTGTTAGCTGTGTTGTCAGATGTGTTGACAAATATTGCTTTCTCTGGTTCAAGGATGAACTAACTCTCCACAGAGATCTTCCCCGGAATGAAGCCATGCCATGTGCTTGCTCAAATCACAGAGCTAAATCTCTTTTGATTTTCTCTCCAGGGACATAACTCATTTCACTGCCTCTAGCACTACTCATGCTATAGCTCACCCCTTCAAGGGATCCTTCAAACTGGCTTATAACCCAGATGTGCTTCCATCCAACACCTGAATTCAAGCCAGCAGTTCCTCCTGACTACTATCTAAAATTCCATCTGTTTGCAATAGTCTAACACAACCTTTGCCTTGCTTTTTACTCTCTTAAATTTGTTCCATAATTTGTCCTTTCAGTGTCTGCTTTTATTTCTGTGCTCTAGAAATCACATACCCATGGGTTTCACCATGGGATTCCTTTCCTCATGGCAGAAGACAAAGCACTGACACAAATCCTCCCAGTGCTAGTTCTGTATTCCTTCCAGCATCTGTACAAGAAACTATCCACTAAATTATTATTATTTAGGATCAGTGAGTTCCTAGGAAATTGAATTCATAACAGGACTAGTCAAAGGACACAGAATATGATCTGTATTGCTGCTTCTGTTCTTGCCTACTCATGCTACTGTCAGGGCTCACTGACATCACTGTTGAGAAATGAAGAAAACAAAGTTTACTTCAGGTTCCTTTATAAACATAAAAGAATTGCTCAGGGGGGTGGGAAGGGATGTTTCCTTTGATTTTCAGAAGAGTCAGATGGAACCCATAATAAGCAGAAACAAATGGGATCTCTTCATGGAAGTTTTTTATGGGGATATTGCAAAATGCACAGAAATAAAATTGTTTTAAAGTGGCTTCTGGAGTATCACACAAGTTTTTTAACAGCGCAGTGCATTCATTAACAACTTGACCACAGTGCTGTTAAAATTTGCAAATTACACTTGCAAACATTATTTAACTGCCACAAGAATACTCTTACGCACTTGTTTTTAGGATTAATGGCTCTCCCAATCCTTTTTTTCTTTGGGACAGAAATCCCCAGAGCAGCCAGTGAACTTGTATCATAAGCAGATGACAAAAGCACATCTGACTGCAAAGGTAAAAAGCATTCTGCCAAAAAAACAGTGACTGACAAAATGCATTCCCATAAAGAAAAAGCTCTTTGAGTTAAAGCTACTCCAGGCGTGCACAAAAGCACATTAGCAGCATCTGTCAACCTTATGAAATACATTTTCAGCCTGGTTCCCTAAACAAACATGACACATGCTATTGTAATGTCTCTCTTTCAATAATCTTTGAAAACTTTAGCCAGTGTCAAAAAAAAATGCAGAGTTATTAAGAGATATCAAAGATATAACATAGCTAGATATTTGAAAGATTTAGCCAGTGTAAAAAGAAATGCAGAGTTATTAAGAGATATCAAAGATATAACAAAGCTAGATATTTTTGTGAAAAGGCAGTTAAAAAGAGGGAAGCCCAAAATAGAGCTCCTAGTGAAGAAATTATCTAATTTGGGATTGGCATTTCTTCAAAGACAATGGTCACACAAAATCACCCAAGTATGGTCAAGACACTTCCAAAATTTAGTGGGTTAGATGGTACCTAATCAACAGGGGAAATACGTGCCTGAGTGGTCTAGGAAACCTAAATGACTTAGATTAAAGAAAACTTGAGGCAGATCTGACTTTTGGAAACAAAAAACAAAATGAACAGGAAATGCAGCAATAGAAAAGCTGTCCTGAATAATGAGATGTTCTGATCAAACTCAGACGATGCTGAAGCCAATGACTATCAAGAAAATGGCTGTGAATTACTGACCCTGTTAGATGAGCAGCACATCTTAAAAAAAGAAGGAACAGTGAATTCTGAAAAATTCTGAAATCTCATTGTTGGGGAAAATTTTCAGTCAAGGAGACAGAAAAAGACCTTGAGTGTGAAGATGGTCAGGCTCTGCTTATGCCAGCATGGGGACACCACGCTCCAGGCTGGCCCAGGAGCCCAAATCAGGGACAGAACACGAGTCACTGGGTTGCCTTGCACATCTGGGAGGCAGAGGGAGGGTGCAGGGTACCTTTCTGACATAGGACACAGCATCCTCCTCCGTGTACACCTCTGCACTGACGCCGCCGCGCCGGCGCCGCGCCTTCACCACCGGGTTGGGCGGCGGCGGGGAAACCTCATCGTCGTGGGAATCCGACTGGGAGCTGGACTTCTGCCGGGCCAGGATCTGCTTGCATTCCTCCTGCAAGGCAAAAAGGGACAGTGAAGCAGCTCTTACTCGTGGATACAGTCAATCTGCCCTTCTTTTATGGCTATCAGCAGCCTGTTCATGTCTGTGTTTGGGTGACGGTCGGTTTGCACTGCTGAACGAAAATTACAGATTTAATGAGAATGGCTTTAAGGACAATGTGTGTACAGGCATTTCACCTCTTCAACCTTCACCTGTTCAACTCTTTCTTACACATCGTGGCAACCAATATATATAAAGTGCAGGCATATCTTCGCATCTACTCCTGGTTGAGAAAGCAAAACTTCCATTGCTTACTCTCCAACTTCACAGCTTCTATTTTCTCAGTTGGATTGTACACATCATTGTCTCTAGTACAAACAATTTGTCAGAAGTCACACATTGATAAATTAGATTGGTTTCTTCATCTTGCTCTGTTTTGCAAGCTTACTATCACCACAAACAACAAAGATGCTCCCTACTCCAGAATTTCTGCCATACAACTGATTTATAATCAATGGGACTCTTTCCAAGCAAATGGGATCCAAGGTAGGCTCCTCCAGAGGACTACGAGAGATGGTGGCTGGCCTAGCACCAGCTGGCCAATGGGGAGGTTATTCTCCAAATTTCATGCTTGTGGAACAGAGAATAAAATAGGAAAGGGAATCCCTGAAGAGAGAATAACGGGAGTAGAGAACAGTACAGAAAACCTTCAAGAAAGGAGGTCAGAGTTGCAAGGCTGTCAATTCATTCACTGAATTTGACTTCCAAAGGATAGAGACAAACCAGATTACCCATAATTACAGTATTTTCCCAGAGCCCCGTGTTCTACCCCTCAGCTTCCTCAGATCCAAGGGAAAGCAAAAAGGAGTAAAATTCCCTTTGCGTCATCCACATCAGTCAGTCAAAGGAACAGGAGCTGTCTGCTCAGACCCAGCCCTCCTCCTCAGCCCTGGCACTGCTCAGCCACAGCACACTCACTGCCCCTTGGGGCTGGCTCACCCCAACCTCCACTGAAGGCAGGGAGAGCTGGAGATGGGGTGGACCTGATACAGGAACCAGAGGGCATGAGCACTGCACTGCCAGGAGGCAAGGTGGCTGCTGCAGCAGTAGTTTCATGTGCTGCCACCTCCTCTGTGCAGGCAAACCCCAGAGCCTGGCAGCCCCAGAGCCATGCTGAGGGATGCGCACACTCCAGGGTTTTTCAGACAACTCAGCTCAGCAGCACTGCAGGCTCCCCAAAAAGACAGCACAGCAATGCTGAGCTCCCTGCACACCCCATAAACCAACACTCCACCAACAGGGATGAACTGCCAGGACCTGGCCTCTGTCCTACAGGAAATCTCCAGTGAGATTTTCCACTCAGAGCCAGGATGGGAGTGAGGAGGGAGGGAGGGAGATTCTGGGAGCACCAGCACGAGTGGCAGATCCCCAGCATCACCAGCTGGTCCCACTGACAGAGGAAGCGACTGATGCACAGCTCATCAGGTATGGATGGCACCAGGAAAGGGCAGCGCAGAAAACTGGCACAGGCTCACAACTTTCGAGCTTGCAAGAAAAAGGGATGATTAATATATGTTTTGTCATTGGTATTTGCATCAAATCCATCATGCCACCTGTCTTTTCTGGTCTTATTCCAGTCAATTCCTGCACCATCACTGACACTGCCCTTCTCATTAACCTCTGACCAGTCTTTGATGCACCATTGTTACCTGAAATAAATAACTGAGCAGTATTTCCCATGCTGCATGACTCAAAGCAACAAGTCACACATTCTTGTTTTGAAGAAGGCATTAGTGAAATAGAGGGGACAAGCTCAGATATAAAATGCAGAAGGCTGGCTAAAGATCTGACTTTTCAAGACCTTGACATGCCTCAAAAAGTGCCAAGTTCTTTCTGAGATCAGTTGGGGTTTGAATTTGGCTTACAACCCCAAAACTCCCAGTGCTGTAACTGAAAAACCAGAATTTCAGATGTATTAAATCCTTACTGAAACTTTTTAATTTTACATGCAAATAGCAGGACTAGAAATATAGAAAAAATTACTCAATTAGATTTTCTTATAGTTTAAGAGCTGCAAATCCTACTTCAGCATTCTCATCAACTCCTTCCTTACTCCTCTCTGTCTCTAGATTCCTAAACTACAATCAAGCAAAATATTCCAAGTACAAAATGTGCTATATATTACAATTATATTTAATATCTAGTGTTTAAAAACAAAAGCTGTGACTGAAGAATTTCAAATAGCATTACTGACTGCCTATCTCTGATAGTGTTAATGGTCTCTGACTATATTAAATGAACACAACCAAATTTACCTTCTTCATGGGTTTAACTGAAAGGCAGTAAAGACCTTGGTGAAGAATAGCAGCTAAAATTTAACTAAAAGGCAAGTACAAGAGGGCAGTTGGGTAACTAATGGTGTGCAGCACTTACACAGTTCTTTTTATCCAGAGCATATTTACTCAGAGAGAAGAGTTGTAGTTTGCCACATTTGAATATAAAATACACTCTTCTCTCTTCAGTACACATTGCATAAAAGCCACTTCCAAGGAATTAATAAATAATATCTCCCCCACCCCAGCACAGATTTATATACAAAAGGAAGCTTAGTGAGATAAAATTAATACTACAAAGCATGCTGTTAAACTCAAATACTTTTAGAAGCCAAGAAGATTTGAAAGGATTATAAAAGTGAGTTACTGTGTGATTCATTTTAAAAGGAAGTCTCTTCACTACAAACTCCTTCTGTACAAACAGCAGGCACTGGACTGGCTGGTTTTCCATAGCTGCAGGCTGGGAAGGATCCCCATTCCTGAACTACAGCCTGCCTTTTGCAAATAAAGCCTTTGCTCTGTCCTGGGCTGAGCTTTCAGAGAGATGTCTTCCACATATCCTGGGGTAAAGCTGCACAAATGCAGGCAGTGTTTGGAAGGAGGAATGAGCTGTTCCAAGAGGAGTTCTCCAAACACCAATCCTCAGATGCAGCTTGATGTGAATCCTTGTGCAGAACTCAGCTTCAAGTAAACACCTCATCATCTTTTGTTGTCATGACAACAAGTGATATCTCTCTCCCTCTCTCTCTCTTTGGGTGGCACTGATAATTCATAATCATATTGCCCAGTTGTGTCCACCTCTAAATGAGAAAACACATGGAAGGCACAACAGCAAGGCAATGGAACTGCCTTTGATTATTGCCTCAAATTGAAGAACCAATAAATACAATTGCAGGAACCAATTTATCTTTTGAATGTCCACTTTCAGCTACAACCACAGGAATTTAGCATATTGCCCTCAGCATCTCCCCCAGATAACTCTTCCATGAACTTTTAATGAGCTTAAGCACTGCAAGTGAAGCAGCCACAATGCTGAGATGGTTTTTAGGTTTACCTTTCCTTTCAGACCACTGCTCAAGAGCACACACACCTCCTGACCCAGAAGCTTTCTCCCCTATCAGCTGGAGCACTTCTAAACAGGAATTCCCTTCCTCTCCCAGTCTCTCCTTTCAGGCTTTGTCATTACCTGAAAACTCAGGTGAGCTGAGGGAAGGAAAGCACCAAATTACTGTGCAGCCTTACAACAACATCCCAGAAAGACTTAAAAGCAAGTCAGACATTTGATATCAAAGCTCAGTACCTCTGCTGTGCTTCCTACAATGTATACACTGCATTCAAAAACCACACCACCAAGTACACTCTAAATCGTTGAGGTTTTTTTTCCCCCTCAAGCACATTCATAAACTTTTCTGCCTGACAGACCTGGATTGTTCACAGAAAATGTGCAGGAAGGTTCATGCACAGGTAACTAATCTCTCTTTGCACTGGAATTGACCCAGAGGAGATGCTCTCAGTGCAGGAGGGTTTCTGACACCCCTCACCACTCCTTGGGCTGATGATTTACAGCAGACAATAAAGGCCAAAGGCAAAGCACTTCATTTTGCTGAAGCATGGGACTGACAGATGCCATCACTAAAAGCAGGAAAAATCTGGGAGATCTTAATGTTCTTTCCAGTCTTATCTTTGCCAGGACAGACAATCTTTGTGATCAATTCAGCCTTGTTATTCACACAATCCCAATTATTGTTCCACTGCCTTCCCTCTGCTCCATTTTACTTTTCTTCTACAGCAATTCTAAGAAATATCTTAAATGCACTCCCTACCATCCTACCAAGGTATTTACCCCCTCCATAGTTATCCTCCACTTTGATTACTATTCCTGCAGCCTCCATGGTCTCTCTCTGCATCTCTGCTCATTCCCAATTTCAAATCTAGGCAAAAATCTCCTGCCCAAAATCCACCTGCCCCGGCAACACTCCAGCTGCATGGCTGACCTTCCCCAGACCCCTTACTGCCATTGTTTCACCTCCTGCAGCTCGTTCACACTTCTTGTCTTCCCCCCACCAGCGTCTTCAACCATCACCACCTCTTCCCCACTTTCTTTGCCTCACAGCAAAGTGAGAGGTTATGTTACAAAACACAGACCCTATTTTTGATACTTGAAAGCTTATATAATCAAAGAGAATCATAGCCAACACTTCTGATTCTTAAAATCCAGCCAAATAACAATGTATGCACACATAGCTTGTGTAAGAGGAGACAAGCCCACATAAAAGTAACCTGATGAATGTAAAACAGGGCAGCTTGAGATGTGAAACAAAGAAGTCTTCCAGGCAGAATTCCCTCAATGTTCACTGCGTTCTGGTTTTGTTAGGTTTTGGCTATCAGAGTGGGAAAGCCACTCATACTTGTGGACACACAAAGGAAAGCTCATATGAGCATGAGTTTGCTTGTAACTAATTTTATTTCTTGTGGAAAAAACTTTTTTTCTCTTTCTGCTCTTATTCCCTTCATCCTCCACCCTTCCCTTCTTGTAGGAAATTTGCCTGGGGATGGCTTTAAAAATTCACCTTGTCTTCCTTTCCCTCTCCCAAGAAAAGTGTCACCTCTCACAGCACTGCCTGGGGCTGGCTCTGGCAGTCCCAGAGGTGCCACCTGAGCTGCTTTTCCTCCAGCTCTTCCCAGTGCTGATCCCAGGGGAGAGGCAGGACAGAGGCTGCCCCAGCCTGCTCAGCCACACGGCCAGGGCAACTGCTGCTCCCACTGCTGAGCTTCTATCAGCACCTCAGGTACGTTCCTGCATGCTTTACCAACATTTCTGACCACCACGGAGATACCACCCAACTGCTTGGCAAGCTTTGAACGATATTATTATTAGGCTTTATAAAACTGCTTAGTTAATGCTTTTTTTCTATAGTTTTTTCTCTGTGTGATTTTGCTTCAAATCCGTAACCTCTCCCCAGTTTATCTGAAAGCAGTGAGTTATACTTTGCATAATTTTAACCTGTACTGTTAAGAATTAGTTTCATCAGTGTAGACGGGTTCTGGTGGAAATTACTGATTGAAGGACTCTTTTTTGTGATAAAATACAAATACTGGGAGGGAATACTGTTGTAGAAGAAGAGCCTGGTGTTCCAGATTTGATGCTCGGGTACCTTTGGTTGTGAAAGTCCCCGTGGTAAGTAAATAAAGAGTATTTTGCTAACAGAAATAAATATTTTTGCATTTTGTTTTATCGCTCAGGGCCGTCCCGGCACGCCCGGGTGCAGTTCCGCCCGGCACCGCCAGGGGGCGCCACGCGGGCAGCGCTGTTGGCCCGCGGGGTTCGAGCGCCAAATTTGGATTTTCCCAATTTTGCCCAAAATTCCCTTTCCTTCGCCACGGTGAGGATGCGGCACCAGCCTGCATCCCAAACAACCCTGCCGAGCCGCTGGCCGTGGTTTATTAGAGTAGAATATTGTTTCCTGCTCGTGCTGAGGGCGACAGAAGGGCCTGGAGAGAGCTTAGCTCCAGAAGGTACCAGCAAAGCCCAGCTCAGCCAGCACAGCCCTGCTCCAAAATACCCCACATTAAAATGGCTTCAGCAAAGCCATTTTAAACACATCCTGCGGTTTCCTGCTGCTGCCTCTTCTTTGGTGCCATTTTCTTCATTAGTTCTATTCTTCATTCAAATTCTGTGCTGTGGAACAGCTGAGCTTAGCCTGGCAAGACAACTCCACCTTTGATCACATAATCATGGCACTAAACAGCCTGACACTATGAAATTTTTGCAGTCTCAGTATGGCTAAAAATACAAAGCATTGCCTGTCATTTCTCAGTAATTGACTTTTTCACATAAAGTAAGAACCAGAGATAAAATATGGGTTCCCTGTTTTTTTCTGCTATGCCTCCTTTAGTCCTCAAGTAAACAGGGCTAAATTACAGCTGTTAAAATAATGCCACCGTTTCTTAGCTAACATCTATTCCCTCACTCCAAAAAAAACCCAATTACAATCCCTAAGGGAATGACTTTCCTCACTCCATCCACCAAGATCTATGCAGTCAGAGGGAAATGTAAAATAAATTGTTCAAAGGAAATATCACAGGTTTTAAAATCTAAAGTCTCTAAACTGTTTTCAACTATTTTTTGTGCTCAAGGGCATGTTGTAGATTTTTACAAAGTAACTGTTAATGTGATCAGAGTAGATGTCATCTTGAAGTCCAAAGGTCACAGCATATAAAAGTGACTTGCAAATTTTAGAATATAGAAACACAGGCTGATTCCCAGCAATTACTGGCAACTTAAGCAGGTCCTGCCAGTATTAAATGAACAGAAAAATGTGTAATAAAGTTTTCCCACAATTATTTTCAGTGTAATGATTTTTGACATTGAACTTGATACAAATGAGCTGCAGTTGAAAGGCTTTGGGGGAGTGTTCTTTGTAACACTGGCACTCCTTCAGCATCAAACATCAAACCTCAGTCTGCAGTACTTTATTCAGAAGTATTTATTGATGTTCTCCCTTTACAGCCCTCTCAGGCCATGTCCATGCTGTGAATAAAGAGTGGCCCAGGCTCAGAGCTGAGCCCTCATCCCCTGGGCATTACCTCACTGCTGGCTCTGCTCTCAGTGCTGCAAACAGCAATTCCTGCCATGACAAACCTGCTCCTGGTGTGGGACACCTGGGAGTGACACCTGGGGCTGTGGGTGTGCCGGGGTCAGGGTTAGTCCCTGATCCACTCTCATTTAGCAACAGGCTGAAGGAAATGGACCCAACTCTGATGTCACCAGAAGGTGAGAAGCATTTATGATCCTCTCTGATCTTGCATATCATAATAAATCTTGCTTTTATGAGTTGATTTTATGAAATTGAGTTAAAAATTAGCAAAATTAAACATACTCTTCTATTTTTCTATTCACTTCTGTGGTAGCTCCAGTACATTGATGAAGCTCTTCTTGTTTTCCACAAGCTCATTTTTTAACCACTTGAAAAATATCCTACACTTCATCTCTGAACTTCCCACATGTGTTTTTGACAGATAAACTGTTCTTCTCCTGCTCTCTTCAGTGGAATGTGTTGTTTATCTTAATGAGTTTGGAAAATAACCCCACAATACCACACTTAGGTGGAAAAATGCATGACTTTGTTTAGAAAATCATTATTAAACCCAAATATTTTCACTCCTCTCCCTCCACAGGACCAAATGAAAGGAGCTAATAGCGAATGTGCCACGTCAGTATTGCACATTTACAAAAATCTAATGAACAATTGCTAAATTCACAATTCCATTAGGATTCTTCAAACTACCTGTATATGACAAGTGTATAAAAACTGGATAAAACTTATTGAAAGATTTTTCTATCTTTAGAAGTCTTCCTTTCAACTGCTCTCACACAACCAACTAAGTCAAAATATTATTCTACAGCAGAAAATCCTTCACAGTACAATTTATCCCAAGGAAGTCCTCGGAGATCTTTGGGCAACAAGGGAGTCAAACTGCTGTAGGAACAAGAATTACAGTGCTGGAAACCTCCAGAAGGAGCCTAAAGCCTCCAGGCTCAGCAGGCTCAGCCCCCAGGCTGCTCTGGAGAGGCAGTGCCAAGATTGTGTCCTCCCACAGCAAGCACAATATTCCCTGCAGTTGATGCCTTGATGTGTCTAAATCATCTTCCATTTTGAGACAAGTGATATCCATCAGCTCCTGTGCTGGCATCCTGATTGATGTCCTACACAATCCTGGCATCTGCTGCTCTTTGGGAAATAAATGGGAGATCACATGAGAGAAAATGGCATTTCTCAAAGGTAGGAGCTGCCCTCCTGTCTCAGGTGTGTGTGCTGTGTAAACACCAATAAATGATGATGACCAAACTCCCCCAATAAAACTCCTCAAGAAATCTCTCCAGCAATGGAGCATATCTCATAATACCACAGCATATTTTAATGGGTTTTCATCAAGAATGGTGTTTATCCTTCTTTTCAAGAAGCCCAAAATTCCACATTATAATGGATAATAATTCACAACACAGTAATGAAATTCAACAATTTTGATTCTCTCAAAATAGGTCTTGGCTGTCAGAAGTTCAGAATATACAGAATTAAGAGACTGTTTCTTTTTCACAATAATCAAATACAATTAAACACCACCTTTTACTTTGTACCCCTCTCTGATGTCCCAGGCTGCCACCAGAATGCAATGTTTGAATTTTTTTAAAACTACACGAATATGGCATATACTCACCTATATAAAAATTAATCTGAAAGGCAGAAAGTGAGATGGATTAAATGTTTTACATCACTGGTGATATATCAGCCTTATGTATTATCCACTCCTGAAGGAAGAAACTACCGAGCCTTATCTCTCAAGCCTACAACAACACTTGCTCACACAATGTGCTCTTCCTGCAATGATACCCCTGGGCTTTAGAGAGAATTTGTCTGGGAATGCTCTGAAATTCCCCCTCTCTAGACTGTTTTTGAAGGCACTCACAGTAAGTGAGGTCTCAATGCATCCCCTGTCAGAGGATCCTGGGACAGGCACTACAGACAGGAGAGAGCAGTGAAATTCAATAGCAAAATGTTCAAGGATTTTGAGAATTGCTGCCTCCCTGATTTTATTCAGTTTTAGGGGAAGGCCACGTGACACTGGAATAAACATCATCTTTTGCACCCACAAGCAGATTCTTCCAAGAGATGAAAGCTCAGGGTACCATGCCTCACAACCCATTTGAGTCATTTTTAACAAATTCAATTTCCTGAGATATTATAATCTTGGTGTTATGCACAAAAATTTCTAAACTATAGCTAATGTTATAATAGACATCCACAAATGAAGGGCTTTTTCTCTTAACAGTTTACATTTTCACAGTTGTGTGATCATTTAAAAAAAAGAAAAAAAAGTACCAAAGCATTTGAAATCTTTAAACAATCATTTTCATTTTATAAATGGAAAAAGACACCTGAAAATCACTGACCTTTTCTAATTTTTCAAAGTGTTCTCTGAGGAACTTCATGGGTCGGTCTGGCTTTGCTATACAAAGGTTTACAATGCATTCTTTTAGAATCTGTTGGATGTTGTGTTTCTGAACATAGAGTTCACATCCCTTCAGGCTCTCGTCTTCTTCCACATTGCAGGAAGCAGCAGCAGCCATCTTCAAGCTTGTAAACAGAAAACACGACCTAGGTAAGAAAATGGTGCAAGAAAGAGATAAGAGACAGATACCAAATCCTTTGTCAGAGAGATCTGAAGAGCAAAGACATTTAAATATTGTCTGTTGCGTATTGAGGACCTATTCAATTTTAACATTTTAATGTCCTGGGGTTGTACAGGGAAATGCTGAACTGTGTCATCTCTGTATCATCAACATCCCACCAAGTGCACAAACAGGATTTAAACTCATAGATTGTGATCAATTTTTGAAAAAACCACACAAACCGGTGAAATTAACTTACGAGGCAAGGAGTTTCAAAAGCACTCTTAAATGACGGCATGATGCCTTGCTTTGCTGTCCCCGTGGGGACTCGCTCCTGTCACCAGAAGCCCAGCTTCTTGCTACAGAGACTTTCGGGCAATTTTAGCACCTCTCCCTTTCCATCCAGCGACCCTTGTCTGCCTTGGGAAAGCAGAGGGGGAGCGGGCAGAGCCCCCTGAAGTGAAGTGAATTCCCCAAAGAGAACTTTGATGACCTGGGGGGAGAAGAGCCCCAAACCCTCTTTATTTCCCCCAGCGGGGTTATGAGTGCTCCGTTACGAGCCCAGAACGCCGGGGCAGCTTTACCACCGGGTCTGTGGGTGCGGGGGGCGGCCGGGGCTGTGCGGGCAGTGCGGGGCAGTGCGGACAGTGCGGGGCTGTGGGTGCGGGGGGCAATGCGGGGCTGTGCGGGGCAATGCGGGGCCGGCCGGGGCTGTGCGGGCAGTGCGGGGCTGTGCGGGGGAAGTGTCCCGGGCCCGGCCGGGCGGCACCGCGGCAGCGCATCCCCCGGGCCCGGCCAGGCGGATCTGCCGCCGCTGTCTCTGCCCCTGCCCCTGTCCCTGTCCCTGCCCGTGTCCCCTGTCCCTGCCCCCATCCCTGTCCCCGTCCCTGTCCCTGCCCCGCCGCACGGGCCCGGTAAATACCTGGTGGCCGGAGCCGGTTGAGCGGCGGCGCCTCCGGTGTCCTGGCCGGCGCTGGAGGCGGGGGCAGCGGCTCCCTCGCCGGTTTCCGCACTGCAGCCGCCGCCGCCTGCGCTGCTGCCCGCCCGCCCGGGGCCGGGGGCGCCGCGGGGACCCTGCTGCCGCTCCCGCACAAAGGCTCCGGCTCCGCCGCCGCCGCTCGCCCGCAGGAAGTGCGGCCGCCGTCACTCCCCGGCGGGCGCGGCCTCCACCGCCGCCTCCGCCGAGAGGCGGCACGGAACCCTGCGCTCCGAACGGGGCGGCACGGACCCCCCGCTCCGGGAGGCACCGAACCCTCCGCTCCGAACCGGGATGCACCGACCCCGCTGCTTCGAACAGCTCCGCACCGACCGCTCCGCTTCCGCCCGCACGGACCCCTCTGCTCCGATACGCTCCGGGCGGCTCCGACCCCTCCGCTTCGAAGCGCACCGCACGGACCCGCTCGGCGCCGCACGGACCCGCAGGGTACGGCAGGACCTGGCCCGGCGGCCAGCCCGAGGACAGGCTAAGGAGGACCAGCCTGGCCACCATGGACTATGGCCCGACCGTTCAGAACAGGCCTGGCCACGAAGGACAGTCTGGATGTGTGAAGTGGCCACACTATGGCCATGAAGGATGGGCATCGCCATGAAGGACAGCAGCCTGTCTGAGGATTTGCTGGCCATGGAACGTGTCCTGACTATCAGGGATGATGAACTGGCCTGCAGGACAGGCTGCCGAGCCAAGGCAGGCGCATTTGCATTTTCTTAAATCTACACAAATTTGGCATTTGCATTTTCTTAAAACTACACAGCGGCCGCAGCGCTGTCTGTGGCACGGGAGTTGCCAGCCCTGCTGAGCACTTACAGGTTGGGAAGGGCTGGAAAGGGCTGACAATGGCTGGGAAAGACTAAGAAGGGCAGCTCACCAGCTCTGCCCAGGGGTTTTTAGAGCAAAGCCATCACAGGAGGCAGCACCTCTGTGGCAGGCCGTGAGGAGTGTGGTCCCAGCTGGCATTCAGCCATGGGCCAGCAGTTGCTGTCAGGAATACTCCAGTACACGCTTGTGTTCCTTCTGTTGCCAGGAAATTCACATCCACGGTTCCCATAGAAAAAAGGGTGAAACAGGACTCCAAAAGATCACAGTCAAGCTAGGAGAAACGGCAAGAAGGGAATAAACTCTGCTGGTAAACACAGGGCTATTTTAAAATTTAATTAGTTCTGTGGTTTATTGCACTTTGGATTCGGTGTGATCACTCAAGAAAAGGACCCTAAGAATCTTTTGGCTTGATGTGTTTTCCTTGCAGTCACCAGAGGAGAACACAAAACATGAGGTTGTGTAAAGTACCCATAAGTACAACATAAACAACATGTATATACACATTAGCTAACACAAATAAACACAAAAAAACATACAACGGTGGTACAGAAACTGACAGCTTCCTGCCCGTGCTGTTTGATCCTCAGAGCAGGGACAGCGGGGAGGTGGCACATGTGAGTGTGGCCGGGCACGGAGCCCCCGGTGCCTTCCCGCTCCCCCAGCCCTGGCACCACCCGCGGGCTGTCCCGGGCTGGCACCGCTCGATCCCCGGGACCCAGCAGCGGCTCCGTCCTGCCGGTACCGGCCCGGCTCCGGCCCCGTGTGCCTGCCCGAGGGCCCGGGGAGCGCCCGCAGCGCTGTCACCCTGCCCTGGCCCTGTCCCCTGTTCTAGCCCTGTCACCGTGCCCTGTCCCTGTCCCCTCGCTCTCTCCTTGTCCCCCACTCTGTTTGTTTTCCCACGGCTCTACCCCTGTCACAGTCTCTGTCCTTCCACCCCGCTCTATCCTTGTTCCCCTCTCTGTCCTCGTTCCTGTCCTGTTCTCTGTCTCTGTCCCTATCCCTGTCTCTGTCCCCGTGTCTCTGTCCCCGTGTCTCTGTCCCTGTCCCGCTCTCTATCCCTGTCTCTATCCCAATCCCTGTCTCTATCCCTGTCCCCGTGTCCCTGTCCCTGTCCCACTCTCCGTGCTGTCCCTGTCCCTATCCCTGTCCCCGTGTCTCTCCCCTTGTCCCTCTCCCGGTGCCCGTGTCCGTGTCCCCCTCTCCGCACTGTCCCTATCCCTGTCCCTATCCCCGTTCCTGTCCCTGTCCCCGTGTTCCCCTATCCCTGTCCCTCTCTGTGTCCCTGTCCCTCTGTCTGTCCCTGTCCCTCAGTCCCTGTCCCTCTCCCCGCGCTGTCCCGCGCACTGCCGGGCCCGGCCGTAAAGCAGCGCGCTCCCTCCGTCGCAAACGCCCCGCGCGTCCCTGGCGACGCGGCCGCCCCGGTGCCGGGATCATGGCGGCGGCGGCCGAGGCGGCGGCCGAGCTGTCTCAGGCTCTGTCCCGGCCCCTCAGCCTCCTCCAGCAGCCGGACTGCAGCCGGGCGGCGCGGCTGCGGGCTCTGGAGGACATCCGCACGCAGCTGCAGGGCCGGCCGGTGCCGGGCGCGGTGCTGCAGGAGGTGTTCGCGGCGCGGCTGCTGCGGCCGCTGTCGCGGTGCCTGGCGGGGGACGCGGCGGAGCGGTGCCGAGAGCTCGCCCTGCAGCTGCTCCGCCACGGGCTCAGCCAGGGCGAGCGGCCCTGCGAGGCGCTGCCCGTGCTGCTGCCGGCCCTGGCGCAGCGGCTGTGCCCGCCGCAGGGCGCGGAGCCCAGCGAGGAGCTGCGGCTCGGCCTGGTGCAGCTGCTGGGCCTGCTGCTGCAGCGCTGCGGCGCCTCCATGGCCCCCTACCTCGGCGACATCGCCCGCGTCCTCCAGGCCACCCTGCTCGACCACTACGCCGAGGTCAGGCGGGAGAGCTGCGCCTGTGCCGGGGCCTGCGCCAGGGCCATGCCAGGTGCGGCTGAGGGACGGGCAGCGCTGCGGGATGTGATGGGGGTGAGGAGGGTACAGGAATGCAGGCAGGAAAGAGAGGAGGGGTCGCACACACCCTCACAGGTGTGCTCTGCAGGGTCTGATGGAGAAAAACCATGCCAGGAGTGCGTGCTGAGCTGTTAGGTGTGGGTAGTAGCAGCAGGAGGGGCTTGGGGAGGATTTGTGGGCAGCGTTCAGCTCTGATACTGTATAAAGTTATTGCTACATAAACACAGCAACATTACTCAGGCTGCTGTTCATAGTGGTACAGAAATCATGTTGCTCTAGGTCTGTCGCCCACCTACAGAAAGAAACAGAATTATGGAACAGCATTAAGCCCCTCCCCAAATGCATTAGTCCATCCAAAATCATCTCACACTGCTGGCCCCAACAACTGTTGGGTGTCATGGATATGTCCATGCTACACAGAATCAGAGTGGTTTTGGTTTGAAGGGACCTTAAAGATCAGCTAGTTCCAGCTCTCTACCATGGACAGGGATCCTGCCCACAGTGGGAGCTCACATGGTTGATGTTTCTGTCTTTCTGCCCTAACAGAGCACTTCCATCTGCAGTCAGAGTCTCTGATAAAACCCCTGATGCAGACAATCTCCCACCAACACTACAGAGTTCGTGTTGATGTGATTCAGGCCACTGGAGCAGTGATACAGTTTGGGAATGGAAAGTCTGTGGATGATGTCCTGTCTCATCTGGCCCAGAGGTTATTTGATGAGATTCCCAAGGTGTGCTTTTCTTCCTTCTTTTCTTGGCATTTATTTTAAATCTGTTTAAAACCCATCCCCATGGCGTGGGTTTCTTGGTGTTTCTCTCCCTGCTTCCCCCGTTTTCAGCTGTCTTGCATTCAGCTGAGATCTGTATATACATCTATATGGTTTAATCCCAGATGGAATTGAGGACCACACAGCCCCTTGGTCACTCCCAGCTCATATCACCTCTCCTGTCAATGCTCCCTCAGCTGTTTGTGCAGCTCCTCACTAGCAGAGCTTGAGACACCCAAAAGTCCTTGATTTAGGGTAAACTCTGCTTAGCAACAAGTGAACATCAGTGTGTTATCAGCATTGCTCTCACAATAAATCCAAAAAATGGCACCCTACCAGCTGCTGAGATGAGCTCTGTCCCATCTGAAGCCAGGACAATGTAATCTGTCCCAAAGCCACCCAGCCTGTAATCTGTCCCAAAGCAATGCTGGTGACTGCTGTCCAGTTCAGCAGGATGGTGAGGATTTTGTTCTAATGGGTGCTTTCAATTCTGTCTAAAGTTCTCTGCCACATCTCCCTGGCCCTTCATTCTCTATTTTTTTCAGCTGCTTAGCAAATATGGTATGGGTCCCTAAGATGCAACCGAAGCAGTAATTTTAAAATCAGTCTCTCCTTTGTAGTGAACAGAGAAAATTTTCTTCTGGAGATGTGCTTGGAAAATCACAAACTCCAGAGAAATGTATATTTCTTAAATTCTCAGGAAGGAATTAATCATGAGAATTTCATTTTCTGAGTTAGGTCTGTTCTTGTCTTCCTCTCAGAGGTGTGCTTTTGTGCAGCAAACAGCCTAAGCCAGAGAGAAAAATGAGAATGTGATTCCTTGTGTGTTCCTCAAGATGCTTCCTGCAAGTGAGGAAATGCTGGGTTCCTGTAATTTCTTCTGAGAGTATTGATGTGCTTCACCATGTCCTTTATACAGAAAGCAAATTTTTTTTAATTATATTTCTGTTATTTTCCTGACACCTTTAACATAGTTTTTTTGTCTCCCTGCAGGTACGGCACGCTGTAACAGCTGTCATTGGAGAATGGTTGTTGCACCTACGAGACAGATACTCATATTTTCACAAGCTGATCCCTCTGTTACTTGGCAGCTTTACTGATGAAATTCCTGAAAATGCGTATGTGGAACATTTAGTCTTTCCCCTCACCCTTAAATAGATATCAGAGAAGTGTTCCTAAGCTCACAGATTTTCCCCTCTTGTTTGGAGGGCAAAACCCCCATTTCTGTTTAGGTAGTTAGTTTGTTTTTTCTTAGACTGAAAATATTAGCATTATCTTCAGTAACTTTTGTTATGCTGTCCTTTCATGCTGCATTCAATTAAATGTGAGAGAGGCAAAGACAGGGGTGGACAGAGACAGAATTACCCCTTAGGAGAAGAGGCCTCTGTCCACTGAGTACAAAAGAAATACAAACTCTCAACTTAATGTGCCT